ATGTTGAGGTTGAAGAACTGGAGGTTGAAGGACAAGCAAGTGCGAGCTCAGAGCCCAGACCTCCGAGCACGTTCCCACTAAGGGGACCACCACTGCGAGCACCAAAGATCTCGTCAATCCCAATAGACCCACCTCCAAGGTGGGATCTTTGGTCTCTGGAGTGGTGTCTGTATTTCACGCTTGGAAGAGTCAATAGAAGATTACAGCCTCGTGGACAGGTGATGGAAAACACTGCTCAGGTACAATCATCGACATGACATCTTGGAGACGCAGCTAGGGATCCTTGAGCAGAACCATCGTGAAGGAGCTCGCAGGAGAGCACACATGATGTGTCGTGGTATGGCTGATTTTTCACCCGTTTCACAATCATCGGGTGGACAGAGGTTGCGGAAGAAGAAGAAGAACCAGAAAGCGAAAGCATTGTAACACAGCACCAGGTTGGAGGAACAGCATCTAGCAGTCACGCAGGACAGACAGGTGGAGACGAGCAGTTCAGAGAAGATCTTGATTCAGGTGATGGATACTTTACCTCAGCAAGTGTGCCAGGGCGAAGTTTGTCTATGCCCTCAGCAGAACAAGATCAACAGAACGATGAGGAGAACGATGACGAAGAGATCGAGGAGTGATAAACAGAGTCACACAGAAGACTTAGGTACATATATTCGAGCATTGGAGAGGTTAGCGACCCAGAGTATTGGCAAGAGCTGCATCATTTCAGTAGCGATGATGATGATGAAGCAGGCAATTTGAGCAGAGATGATGGCAATTGATTTACAGAATTTCAATGTTACAATACATTTCTTGTGATGTTGAGTTGAGTTTCCGGTGAAACCGTCTGAACCGCAGGACCATTCAGGATTTGGTCGATTCAATACCCTGAAATCATCTGAACCACGGTATAAGTGCACAACGAATGAACTTGTTTGCAGATGCATGGAATACAAGTTTGATGGACAGACGAAGATACGTGAGCCAACTGAACCACGTATCAGCAAGAGAGAATTGGCAAAACTTATTTGTAGAAATTGTATCAAAGGATACCGGAACGGGAGCTACAAAATGTAACAGTACAAAGAAAGGTAGATGACTTTGTCTGTGATCACCTAGAAGATGGTGGTATCTACCTACAGCGTGATGAAACGTGACTCATTTCGTCAAGTTTCAAGGCGGGGTGCTAACCAATTTTTTCATCCTGGTATGCACATAGATGTGACATGTATAGAGTGGATTGAAGTCACTTGTGTAGTATCTGTTCTTATCACCTTGTAGCGTTCGTGTTCGAAGGGAGAAGAGTTGCTGCCTAACATTCATGACGCACTAATGGTTGAGAAGGGCACAGCAAGAGGTCACGAAGAACAACCTGAATCTGTTTGGGTGAACAGCGAAGAACTTTCACGAGAAAGTAAAGTTCGTGCCTTGCAGGATGGTTGCAACTACCTTGGCATCAATGCCAGTAGGTCCAAGGCCAAGCTTTATGATCGGTTGTGTGCATATTTCAGCAAGCAAATCGATCAGAAGGACATTGACAGAGCAGCCACACATTTACAAAAACTTGAGAAGGGCCCAGAAGTTCGGGCGCAAGAGAACATGCAGAACGATGCTTGATTCAACTCTGTTTGTATCTCAAGAAGTTGAACCTTTCAATTTTGGCTTCCATATACGCAGGTTGGGACACGTATGTCGGGAAAGCTGAACAACAGACCAGAACATGAAGTGGAGGATGATGTTCATGCGATGGAAATCTTTTGTGATAGCGATTGGGCTGGCAATTTACATCGAAGGTCAACTACGTCAGTTGTCATCCTTCTGAACAGCTTGGTAGTCCTTTCTTACAGCAGGACTCAGAAAGCAGCTTCATTGTCGTCATGTGAAGCTGAAGTCCTTGCACTCACTTCAGGCGCAAGTGAGGCCATGTTGTTGAAAGAGGTTTGGACGCTCGTGTTGGGTCAAGAGACATTGCTTGAAGCCCGCAGTGATTCTTCGAGCGGAAGGCAGTGGTTGCAAAGAGCAGGACTTGGGAGACTCAAGCGCATTGATGTACGGCTTTGCTGGCTACAGGCGGCAGCTCGTGAGAAGGTGTTGAAAGTCCTGCCAGTATCTACCCAGCTGAATATAGCAGATTTGAACACCAAGAAGCTTACAGCAGCACGGAGACATTTCCTTCTTTCGTTCATGGCTGCAGTTTGTTTGATCGATGAGAATGAGGTGATTGAAGAGGTTGGAGAAAGAGAGCAGGTGAATTACTTTTCTGAACAACAGTGGAAGAACCAGGTTCGACAGGTGAGCAGATGGATGAAGAACAAAGCAGTACGACAGATGGTGCAGTGTTCTCTTTTTGTACAGGCTATGAGCTTGAAAGGTTGTGTCGAGGATGGAGCAAATGTGAGTGTCGAAAATGACAGTCGAAAGCACTTCTATCTGACCTTGTTGGTTTTGATGCATGTGGCATTGTGCAATTGGGTGTACAGCGATTGGAATGAGCTGGCGGCTAGATTTGGACCGCGAGGTAGAAAGAGTGAGCGAGATGAAGAGGAACCAGAGCCCGAAGCTGACAGAAGGATTGTTGAGAATGACAACATTTGAACCAGGAGCAAGCAGTTCAGATGGACCAACTACTTTAAAAAAGGCAATGTTGGACCTCGCCCTCCGTTATTTCCACCGATTCCGAAGCCGATTGATCCACCGGCAAGGTGGGAACCATGGTCACCAGAATGGTTTACATATTGGATGCTTGGCAGGGTACAAAGAAGAATGGAGAGAAGAGCTGGACGAATGACTGAGCTGGAAAGGAAGAAGTATGAAAAGAGGAGAGAAATCTTAAGGTTGACATTGATGATCTTAGAGCAGAACCCGGGGGAAACTGCTAGAAGAAGGGCCCATCACTTTTGTCAGTCGATGACGGATTTGTCGGTTGATGAAGAAAGTCCCCAGGGTCCAGAAATCCCAGAGCTTCCCGAACCAGGCGCAGACCCTGAAGAAAGGATGAGAGGTTGACAGAGAGGATGGACGAAGACGATGGTTATTTCAGTTCACGTCGAGTTCCAGGACGAAGCTTTGAAGTCTCAGCAGAAAGTGCCCAGGCCATTGTTCGGCCAGATCCGGACAACAGTGGTGGAGAAGAAAACGAAACATCAGATTCTGAGAGTGAAGACACAAGGATTGCAAGATATCTCAACAGCACTATGGATGAAGTTTCTGATCCAGAGATGTGGATGAATACACCATTTCTCAATTGACTCAGACAGTGATGTTGTGGTAGAAGAGACGAAACAACCCAGTGGATCAACAGGACATTGAGAGTTATTTCACTATATGCATGGATGTGTTTCCTGAAACCATCTGAACCAGGAGCACATATAGCACAACGAATGTTGGACGCTTGAACATTTGATTTCAGAGTCGCAACAACAGTACGAGAATTCGTGAAAAATTTTTCGAAATAGCATCATTGAATGCCGGAACGGCCTATACTTGTGGTATCGTGCAGTGAACATAGAGTTTCAAGTTGCCTTTACCTATGCCGTTTAGTAGAAGTGGTACTTGAAACCGAGAGAAAAGATATGACTAAAGCGTCAATCTTTTATGCGCGTGTCAAATTTTCTCGTGTATAGGGGTGCACTGTTTGCTAGTTGAAACTACTCCGCATTACCGTACCGCGTGTGGTCCAAAAGTCCGCTTACCTCGACAAGGAAGCAAGAATAGGCAAGAAGAAGGAAGAGACAGGACGAAAGGTAAAGAATTGAAAAAAAGGAAACGAACAAAGGCCATGCAAGATGCAGGAAAGTTCGGTATTGGAATTGACACGTTGTGAGTGTTTGCTGCTTATTCGTATCTTCTTATACACGACATTTATCTTTTAGAGGAGAGAGCAGCAACGTTGGGAGGACTACTGAGGTTTCCATTCAACCGCGTCAAGCAACTACATTAAACCCCTTTCCTCGATCTGAGCTTCCCGACCAAGTCGATTGGTGAACCAGGAAATATGTGAATGTGGTGGACCCCATGTTGAATTCAGCCGAGTTGATCTGCTAAGAGGTGATGCATCAGTGTTAGAATGTAAAGTGCTTGCCGAAAAGTCCAGAAGTTGCCGACAAGTGGAACTAACGAGCCTCTCCCAAGGTGATGGTGGAGGCAAAAGTGCCTCTAGGAAAACCAGTTAATTCTCAATTCAAATAGGATATTGGAATTTTCAGTTCAACAGCCTGGACATTCGGGCCACCTACCTGATACTTTGTTGATTTCGTCAATTTTTGGCTCAACAATAGATAGCCGGATAATTTGTGTCATGGTTCTATTTGGCAAGACTTGGCAGAAAAGTCAGTTAGTTCAACGTAGGAACAAAGGTGCATCTTTGTTTGCACTTGGATGGTTTTGGACGCCATTGTTTGTCCATAACAGGTTCTTAGGTCTGCCAAAAGTGGCATTACCCTACCCAGTTTTTTCAACCTGTCACCTCCATGTTTCTGTGCTGCTGCACAGAAGCAGGCAATGAACACCACCAGGCGTGGGCTCAACCGAAAGTGGGATCTCCACCTGTTGCCAATATCTGAGCCGATTTGCTAGGCGTTGTTCAACGATCCGCAGCAGCTTGGTTGTCATGCGTTCCGCCATTCATATGTCGTTGGAGACGCGAGGGAAACCGTGGCTTGCAACACTCGGAGAACTGAACCCAGATGCAGGTTTTGTTTGTCCACTCAGTGATTTTAACAAGATGCGTCCATCTCCAACTCACGAACTGTCCTCCAAAGTTAAACCAAGGTTTCCGTACCAAGACGTGGTCAGCGCACGAAGAGAGCTTGTCAGGAATATTGAGGCACGATGGGCTGGAGAGAGGTTCGGTTCAACGTCCATTTGTTTCACGTGTGGGTCTTGAGCAGCATCTGCAATGGACGATGTCACGAAACATCCTTGAAACAATCTCATGCTCATGTTGCACCACTTGATGCCCACATCTCGCTCGTATACATCGATGCTTTTGAATGAGATGCTTCCAGCCTTTTTTCCAGTTTGTACATGTTTATTGATCTTTCCTGAACTCATGGAGTACTCAACCACTGGAGTGGGCAAGCGTTCTCCGCACAGGTAAAGGTGAAATATGAAAAGGGAAGCTCAGGCAGCACTTTGATACTCATGCACGCGAGCCTGATGGAAAAATATCTAGTCTTCCGATTTCCAACCGGTTTGCAAAGCCCAGTATTTTGAATCTGACTTCTGGCGGTTGCTTTCCATTTGAGTGCACTGGAGCAGGAAAACTTGGCGTTGACTTGGATGCCATAGACATCCACAGGGGCCTAGTAGTAACTTGGCGGGTTTGATGCACATTTTGTGTTTTTTGGGGTTGGCACAACAAGCGCAAACCCTCGCCAACTTTGCAAGATATGTTTACATGAACCGTGACCAACAAACTGGCATGCTCAGGTGAAAGGTGTGTTGCCTGACGGTCTAATAGCTGAGTGGAATCGTGCCAACCCGGAGAATGCCATAAAGCCAAGTGCCACTTGGTCTACAAAAGCTTTTGCCTTGCGGAACACCCGCAAAATTGCAATTGTACTTTGACTATTGCATTTTGTGACGCAAAATGTATTTTGTGTCTCAGGACAAGATTTTTGCTGTCAACAACCAGGCGAACGATTTTGTTAAATGAAAGAAGAGGATCTTCACTCCAGCACATGTGAACCAGTTTTATTTCAATTGAGTCTTCAGCACTCCAGTCCGTTTTGCAGGTTGGTACAGTTCAAGACTTGGAGACACACATCGTGTCTTCAGGCCTGGTGGCAGGAAACTCTCCGATTCAATGTACAGTAATTGGCTAGAAAGGAGGACTTTGTTTGACATTTTGGCGGGGTTGACCATTTAGGCGAATTTGAATTTGACAATTTGCATAAAATACTGGACTTGGTTTAGGCCCCCCAGTGCAAAGCGTGACAAACATGTCTCTGAGGGGAAACAAGTGCTTCGTGCATCTTCGTGTGGACGTTTTACCAATTTTACCAAATCAGGGAATGACTCAGTGAATGGCCCACTAAGCATCCCGTGATTCCGATTGGCACCGATGTCTTCGCCGATGTCTTCGCCGAGGCCCTGACCTTCAACTCAGCGTCCGACGTCCGCAACGGATCGAGGTGACGCTGCAAAGACCGGGCAGTGGTGGAGCTCAGTCTGTGGCGAAACGGACATTAGACATTTTTGTGACTTTAGACATTTTAGACATCCTTTAGACTCTAGATCCATTTGAGGAAATGCAAACTGAATGTGTTCAACCTGTGTTTTCATTTGTATCTCACCTCTTGGAACCCATCGGTGGCCTCTCTGCCTGAGGTTTGGGCCTGAGGCTACACTTCAAGATACTCGGAAGAGCCGGATTTTGCTTTAGAATACAAGGAGTCAAGGAGTTGAGGTGGCTACACATCCCAATCTTGTGCATACATGAGAAAGCGATCACTTGAGGTGTCAAGGTAGGGCAGGGTTAACAGTTTGGGTTTGGAGTGAGAAGACATCGACAGATCAAGAAGCCTTTGCAACATTTTGCAACCTTCTCCGAGGAAATCCTCAAAAGGCGTTTTGGTCAGTGAGACCCTTTGCTGCAAATTGTCAGAAAAATTGATGATCTGAACTCAAGACATGGTTTTGTTATGTTTTGCAGAGGGTAACAGGTTGGTTATAGTATAAAGGAGAGCACCTTTCTGTATTTGCATCGCCTGACCGCCGAGGGTGTTGGCAGACGGGCTGGCAACAGACTGGAATGCCAAAAACCCCACAAGACGCATCACTGCTGGTGACCGGATACTGGAAGTGAACGGAGAAGCGCTTCCACCTGAGGACAGATGTCAGCCTAAGCTGCGCAATAGCTCAGATTTCCGCAGCTACAGCAACCTTCATTTTCGAGCAAGTCGTACTGGAAGAGACCATCATCAGGTGTTAAAGTGGCAACAGAACCTCCAACCAATCCAAGAATGCTCCCAGTAGCGATGCCAGGAGCCCCTTAGTAGCGATGCCCTTGCTCCTAGTATCGTCCTGCTACTAGGGGAAAAGATCTTCACGACAGAACGACATGCGTATCCAGCAAAGTCTGTACGGAGCAGCTTGAGTGCCATTCGAGTTTATATGTTGCGATTCTATCATGCAATCTGTATACTACTGGAGTCGAACATATAGTTGGACAGAAGTTGGGCCTTGTATGGGATTTGTGTGGGGGCAGAATCAACGTTTGCTGGGCGCGAAACGTGTTGCTGCGAAGCCCAAAGCTCCTCGGACTTCTTCAGGACTTGATTGCAAAGCCTGGGGCTGAGCAAGATTAGCGAGCTTTCCATGGCAAACCAAATGCTCCTTCTTGTTACTAGTAGCAATGCGGCAATGCCCTTGTTACTAGGAGCGATGCACCTTGTTATATACTAGTAATTAGCTTCTTGTTACTAGTAATGCCCTTGTTACTTTGGATGTGCAAAACATCACTCAATGTTGCGCTTACAGAGTGATTGCCGTGCCAACCATATCATGAAGTACAGTTTGAGACAGGCATTTGCATTGGTTGTGGACGCTTTTGGAATGATGATCGGTCTACTACACTGTGCCACAGCGTTTCCATGCATGCAGTGCCATGTTCAACAAAAGCGCCGAGTACACTTGTGGGACCAATATTTACACTGGTTGTGGACATTTAGACGAATCTAGATTTTTGCGCTAGGCTTGCAAAAGAGGATGTGATGGTCATCCACATGTTGCACTACGACCAGGATTACTTTTCCGCTTTACATGTTTCGATCCATGGCTTGCTCCTTAGGGAGTCACCTTCCAACGAGTCAACACCACAGCGGTTGCATGCCTGTTGCAATTTGTGTCCATGTAGTTGCTGCAGTCAGGACGTTCCAAAGCCAGTCTGAGGCAGGGTATTTTGCGCGACAAAGATTCTATCTCATGGTGCTTCATGCAACTTTGAGTGTTTGGTCCGCAGCAATTCCTCACACCTCACAAAAAGCTATTGCACTTTTACAAAGGGCTGTCATGCTTGGCCTCCCTTCAGGCCATCCAGTTTCACTGATGAAGCTGTACAGTACAGCAGATATCCACAAAGGATAGGATAGAACTTTGCATTGAGATCTTGCTAGTGCTTGCCGTGGAAGCTTTGAAGCGTCAAAGCGTCTCTCTTCAAGTCAAAACTGACCAGAAGTAGAGAACGGCCCTGTCAATAGGTGTTTTAAGTGAGGCAACAGGCTGGTGGCTTCGTTCCGCCATGGTTTGCTTGAAGTCTTTGCGAGTGAAGCTCTGCGCCACATAAAGTGCCAATTGAAGTCTTAAGACATCACGTGGCAGCTTGCAGACCCTGATTTGAGTGGCCGAAGTGCCACTTGGACACGAAGACCGCGTCGGGGTTGCTGGCGAAGATCCCACACAAGTCGTGAGTTGATTGAAGTCATTTATGTCTATATCAGTTGAGATTGATGCAAGATTTATGAAGTGTGTATCAAAACTGTCTCAAGCAAGGAAGAGACGAGATCAGCATGTGGATGGATACCAAGCAGAGTCGACAAGAATGATTAGGTCATGTTCATTGCAATGATGGAAATCCACATTCTTTTTCTCAGAAAGGAGTTGTATCAAGAGTTGGAGGTCGGCTATGTGGTTGGTTGGAAGCGTAGGAAGGAAGCTTCAGATTTGGCCATTGAATTGTTGTCCGTAGACTTGAAGTCAACGCATGCCATGGACTCCTGATGGCTCACGAAGTAAGCGATCGGGCCTGGACGAATGGACTGCATACCAGAGGACTCTTGGGGCTGTGAAGAGTGGTTCATGCGGTTATTATAGGTGGCAATACTTGATGCACTCAAACAACATATATCAGAAGCAGATGTTCAAGTACTTGTCTTCTTTTTTTTACATGTTGATCAACAACAGCCTTTGAATTGCACTCTGCACAAGCTTTGCTCGTGCAGGAACCCTTCCAACACTCAGAAGAGGCATCTTGGACTCCCCTTGTTTGGGTTTCTCCCGGCCCCCCTAATATAGCCCCTGCCCAGGCTTGGCTTTTGTCCCTCAGCCCCGTAATGTTGAACTAGGTGCAAGATGAGCTAGTCGCTTCTGGGTCTCGCTTTCGCTGAGGACACCAGCGAGTTTTCATCAGCTGCATCTCTGAGCCGGCAGTGTACGGAATTCAGCGATGTTGTGGCACAGGACCGAGAGCTCGAAACCAAGAGTTTCTTTGGGACTGACCTAGTCGTTGGACACATCGCGGAACTTGGATGAAGGTGGAGAAGCAGCAAGACACAAGTAATTACTAGATATACCTAGATACAAATTTACGATCTGCTGTGACTTGTTTACAAATGTTCCAATGATTGAACTTGGTTTGCATGGCACCCTTTCTGATTTTGGGCTTTGTGTCGTAAATTATACTTGCGTAAGTACTATTGCCTGGTCTCACAAGCACGTTCCTACTGGTGATCCAGTTAGAACCACTCTCCATCACTCTCGAGTGAGTGCACCATAGTGCCATAGTGTATGATTTGTTAAAATTCCTTACAAATTTGGAAGGTTTGGTTTCATTCTGCCAAGCTTTGGCCGGACCATCATTGTATGTTGGATACTTGGTGCAATCAAGGAAGCAAGCCATTCAAGCAGAACACCCTATAAAGCACTCAGAAAACTTGTTTGTCGCCGGTGACAAACCTGCCACCGCAAAGGACTTGATGTCACGACAGCTGACTGATTTTGCAATGAGGCAGCTTTCCTATTTGCCATACTGTAGTTGGGTTGGTGCTTTCCACTGTCTTTGCCTTTTTGGTGGACCGAAGGGTCTCTTTTTTCATGAAAAAGTTGCCCATGTCCATCTTTCATTTTTTCCTCGCTCTTGTCCTTTGGCGGACTCACCGGACAAGCCAGGCAAGGAGACTTTTGGGTTCGCAAGTGCAGCGAGCCTGTCCCCTTCACTGGGGCAAAGGGCTTGGATTCAAAGCAAGGCAAAGAGTTCGCAGCCAAACACTTCGAGATCTAGTTAATCTAGTTCGATTTTCGTTATGCTTTACACCTTTAGACTAGACCTGTTACTTTTTCTTCCTTTTCCTATGAATCTGCTATGGAGACTTTGTTGGAGAGTTGAAATCCGTCTTTCACTCGCAGGGGATTTCCGCCGGCAGAGCTCTTGTCCACCATTGCGCTCTCAGGTGGGCAGGTAGTGACAGTTGTGGAAGAGGTTGCTCCCCAGAAGGATTGCTGGGGACTTCCCATCATTTTAGGTGTAGAAATCTCGGGGTAGCTTCGGATTGCTTCCTTGTGTTTGGTGCATGCCTCCTCAGCTTTCTTTGGCGGCTGAGGGTCTTTTTTCTCCTGAGCCCATCGAAGAAAGAGAGTCTGAGGACTGACAGCACAACAAACTATTCTCCGTCAGAGTACTGATGACAGAGACAGACAGCTCGGCACTGCTTCTCGATTTTGGTCCTGCTGAGTGTAAGGAGCAAGAGAGCCAGGGCCAGCTGGAGTCAGAGGAGGAGGATGACCTAGTCTCCAGGGCCATTTGCTCTGCCGTCGCAGACTGCGACTTTAGCGCTACTTCGGCTGAGCTTGAAATGACAAACAACTGGACCATTGGATAATCATCATCGGTTTGCAGACAATGCTGTGGACGGAACATTTTTCAGTTTGCTGCTGGCAGAACGTGCTTCGACAGTGGTTGCTGTAGGTTGCTGTAGCGGACCCGACCGCCCTAGATGCAGAGTTGATCGTGACTTGGTCGCCCATAAGCTGTCACCTGCCAATTATATTATATTATATGGGCTATGCGAGGAGCCAAACAGTCAACGGGTTGTTGCATTCTGCTGAAGTTGGCATGTTTTGAGTCCTGGTGTTTGAGGCCGTTTCAGAGGGCTTTGAGCGACTCACTGGCTACTTGCGCGAAGAGGCAGTTGGTCAAGGGCTCAGCAAAGAAGCTGGCATTCCAGGCTTTTTGTAATTGTTTTTGTGACTAGTTATATTAGTGTGGACTTTCAAACATTCTGTGACTTCAGACTCAGTTCACACAGATTCTTGCTCTTGAACCAAAGCGTTATGAAGGGAAGTAATTGTATGTATGTAAAAATATATATTATATAGCTATATTATATATGTATGATGTATACACACTATCGTAGGAGACCGTAGGCGTCTTCCAGGTTCCATTTGCGTGAGAGAAGGCAACACAGACACCAATACAGTTTCAAAGGGAGCACGAAAGAGAATATAATGCAGAGAACAGACAGGAAGAGATAATGAAAGACAAGGCAACGATGGCAAGAACATGGGTAAGGAAAGCTTTGTGCAAAAGTCTGTCCAAGGCAATCAGGGTTGTCAGATGACCCCAAGACGGGTACTCGAACAAAACAGTGTAATTCTGTGGGTGCTTTTCGGGCGACCCGTTCTTCGCGGCACTCAGGCTGCAATTGCCGCTTCCTCTCCGAGGGCTGTCCACCGCCCGACTTGATTGCGCAGCCTTTACGTGAGGCAACCGACACTGGGGCGACTCTTAGCTGAGGAGTGCGGTTTGGCTTCCAACTCTTAAGTACTTGGCTTGGTCGCAACTAGCCTGGAGAAAGAGAACGCTGGTAGATCTTGAGGCTTCTTGTTGCTATGTGAGCTATTGCTTGATTGGGCAGTTTACTCTTCGATTCAACAATTTGGCTACCCCGCGAAGCCTGGCTAGTAAACTCTGGATCCCCCATTGTAGTATTGGCGTGGCTTGGGGCGGCGGGAACAAGCCAAGGCCCTACAGTTGTATTCTGGTGAACAAGCGAAAGACAGGCGATAATATGCTCATGTTACTGTTGCTTGTGCAAACGAGACAGCTTGTTTTTGTATTTTTCGGGAAAAGTCAGCAAGTGCGAGATCTCTTTTTGAGCAGGTCATTTTTTCTTGAACCTCCTGTCTCTTCGTGGTTTGGTCGTGGCCAGACATGCCAAGACTGGGGAGGTGGGGTGTGGTTCACGGCAGTATTCGGACAGGTGACAGCTCAAATCAGCTTGTTTTGGGAGGCAAAGATGCATTGACACTTCTGTCAGCCCTGTTTCGATCCTCACCTGGGAAGCATCTAGTCAATTCTTTGCTTGATCTTGCATTGTTTTGATAAACATGTGTCTCGTTGGAAGCGCTTTAGTTGGATCTGATGATTGTACGGTGAAGTCCCGCAAAGTTAAACTGTTTTGTTGGAGTGTGCTAGGCTTAGCTTGTTCTACTTCGTGCGCACCTTGTCTGAACCGGGCAGGAGATTTGGATACTCGTGGCTGTCCAGCAGGATGTCACTGGAGTGGAACCAGATTCACTGCCTTCAAGCGACGCCTTGCTGTCCAAGGCCACTGCCGCGGGACGGGGTGATCCTCACCAGTTCGATTGGGTTTTTCCAAGGTGGCTGGCCGCATCCTGCGGAGGCTGCTGAAATATGCAACTGAAATTGGCATTGCCAGCCTCATTGAGGCAAAAAGCAGAGGCAAGTTTTGGGTGGCTTCTTCTTCTTCTTCGTCTTTTTCTCTCTTTTTTGTGTGTAGACCAACCAGATTGCAGACTTGTAGGTGCCACAGCAGCATGAGTAAAACATGATTTGCAAAGCTGCCGACACTGTGGAAGCCGCAGGCTGTGGGATGTGCCCCCCTCGTGGCCAGGTGGGGCAAACGGATACCTTTTTTCATGTCTTGCTTTCCATTGAAGGACCGGGTGTGTTCCGATGAGATGACTTCACCTTGTGCGGACCCAGGTTGGCATGCAATTGCTTTCTGATGTGATCTGGAAAAGTGGTGATCCTTTGGGGTTGCTTTGGCCAGCAATACGGTATTAGGTACGCAGGGATCTACTATGACAGGAGTTTTTTCACTTATTTTGCTTGTCCAGTGCTCAAGTTCTGGATACATTAGACTTCGATAGATTGCGCTGCTATCCAAGCATGAGCAGAAGATACGATGCTAGGTGACCTTCTTGGCTACTTCATCAAGTCCGAAATTATCTGACATTCTTTTACTCCCCCAAAAGATCCAAAAAGTCTACTTGCTTGCTTTTCTGGTGGTGGTGTCCTGGTCTTGGTTGGTGGTTTCTGGGTATTGTTCTGGTGGTGTCAGATGGACCATCGTGCCTTCTTCGTGTCGTGGGCACTCAGACGTAGGCATTCTGGCCCGGAGGCTGGTTGAAGATCTGGCTGCTCTCGAGCAGTTTTGGGTTCATGACCTTGTGAGTTTTCTCTATAGTCACTATACCTTTGCACCATGTCTTCAATTCTTCGCTACACCATGAAGATTTCTGCATCCAGCTGGAGCGAGGCCCTTGCATATCCTTGCATCATTTTTTGCAACACCAGACTGAATACATTGAGCCGGGGTATATGAATGGTGGCAGCTGGCCTGGGTTTCAAGAAGAGGCTTACGTCCAGAGCTTCTCACTTGGAACACTGCTGCCACAGCACGTGTCAAATCCGATCAGTGGCAAAGGACGCTTTGCTTGCTTAGGGGAACCAGGGGCGATGCCTTTGCTAGGAGTCGATGCCTGTGGAACGAACATGGCAGTGGGCACTGCATTTTATGGGTCATGCTGGCATTCAGTCCAACCTTAACCTTATCACGGTCAATGCTGCTCTAGATGCTTGTGCCAAAGATGCAAGTTGGCAACAGGCAAGTTTTTCCGGAAGTCATGCACTGCAAGCTGATGTGAGTACTTACAACACCTTGAGCTTTGCATTCGAGCAGGCCCTTTGTGGACACCCCCACTCCACATCCAACATAGCGTAGATGGCCAACCCATCCCAAAACTCAGACTGGAAGTTGACTGGAAGATCTCCTAATTAGGCTCAAGCATTTGTCGCTTGACCAGCTAGGAGAAACCAGAACCATTTACTGTATATAATTGGAGGGAACGGGGGAAGTGACATGGGCCATCGCCTGGTCAGCGCCAAGGCGTGGTGGACCACCAGGTCAATAGATGGCATGCGAGCTCCGCAAAGATGGTTGTGATTTTTGGTGGGTGTTCTAAGCTCCGTGTAAGGCTTGCTGCAACCCTAAGCTTGCCAGAAGTGTGTGTGTGTATATATATATATACATAGTTTGTTTTCATGACCGCTGGGCACTTAGATTTTGAAGACTTGTACCACACATAAATGAGCACTCGGAGGGGTAGAAGTAGAACTTGGCAAAAACATAGTCGTAAGCTCACCGTTGGTCACCGTAAAAACAGCGTGCCCGGAAACCAGCTCTAAAAACTGGCGAGCCAGAACTGTCCCACGAAACCTGACGGAGCCCACGGAGGTGAATGCGTGCGCATAACAAACGTTGTTTGACATTTTTGCTGGACACTTTTCTGCGGTACTCTTCCAAAAGGACGCTCTTGTGCCACACACACACACACACTCTTAGATCATGGCTCGCAAGAACTGTAGCAGTTTTGAACTCCAGTGCATTAGCCCTTTAGATGAATACTTAGCGCTTGACTTGAGGGAACGGCAAGAGTGGCAGGGTCGGTCGAACAGAATGTTTCAACAAAACGCCCTAGCCCTTTGGAGTGAATAAAACAATTCCTGCAGGTACGTCCAGAAAACCTCCTTTCTGGATATCGCGACCAAACTATCACTGCCTCCCTGCATACTGAACAAGAGCGCCATTCCTTTGAAGCAGGAGATGACACACTCACACACACACACACGATGCCGAATTCGGCGCTCCGGGGGAAAAATGGCGGGCACTTGATTGAAAAACTGGGTTACAAACTTGAAAAGCCTCTAGAACGAAGAAACGCAAAGAAAAAGAAACGACAGCAGGAAGGAAAGAAAGCGGGGGGGTGGGTGCAGGAAGGAAAGGGGGTACAGGGGTGTGTGTGGGGTGGGGTGGGGTGACCAGCTCGGGCCCGAAGGCATTTGACCAGAAGGCCGAAATCGGCGCTCCCTTGACTAAAAAACATCAGTTGCGCATAAAAAGCCTTTAGAAACAAAGAAAGACCTAGAAAGCGAAGAGAAACCGAAGGAAGAAACGCAAGACAGCAAGGAATACTTAGGCGCTTGTATGTACAATGAATACTTAGCCGCTCCTATGTACAACGAATACTTAGCCGCATGGCATGTCATTCTTTGAAGGTTGTCAGTGAGCCCTGACGCTGATGAGGGCTCCTCTTTGTCCCTGTCAGCGGCATTCGATCAGCAATCCTAAGCAAGAACGAATTGTCAGTCGGGAGCAATCCGAAAGGAGAACTTCTGTGGGAAGCCCCCTTAAGGGTATATGCTCAACGCGCCCTCGATGGGATCACGCAGCATACCGCAGTGGGACGATGCTGCGAATCACACTTAGATCATGGCTCGCAAGGGCTGTAGCAGTTTTGAACTCCAGTGCATTAACCCTTTAGATGAATAATACTTAGCGCTTGACTTGAGGGAACGGCAAGAGTGGCGGGGTCGGTCGAACAGAATGTTTCAAAAAAACGCCCTAGCCCTTTAGAGTGAATTAAAGAAATCCTGCAGGTACGTCCAGAAAGCCTCCTTTTCTGGATATCACCACCAAACTGTCACTGTCTTCATTGGGCAGTGAGTGATAGTGGTCCACTGCCCCGCATACGGTACAAGTGTGGTCATTCCTTTGTTCCTTTGAAGCAGGAGGTGACACACACTCTGACAATTGTATTCAGTTAACTCAGTTCCCTAAGGAAAAGAATGGCCCAACGGAATGGCGAAAGGTCCGAGCAAGTTGAAGGTGTTTTAACAAAAGTTGACGCGTGACTGCAGAAAACTAGTTACTGAATACTTAGCAGACCTAGGAAAGGAAAGAGTGAACCGAAAGGCGAAAAGTCCGGGTACTTGAAGGTGTTTTAACAAAGGTTGACGCATGACTGCAGAAAACTAGTTACTGATTACTTAGCCGTGCAAGGAAACCTGTTTTGGGGGATATCATGCGAAGAACCAACATGGAAACAAACCAACAGCGGCAAGGGGAACCAGTGGAGTCATTGCGTTTGATGCAGGTACACAGTGGAGCGTCCTCCACTGCTTCAGCACCAACCGATACCCTCTTCGTTGGACGGGTAGTATCGGTGGTGACCCGTCCCCCTGCATTCAAAACTCTTAGTTCCAGAGGTTAGAGGTGGAACCCTTAGATACAGGGGGTGACGCACACAAACCGCCGATTCCGGCGCAAGTGTGTAGAACGTTGGAAGTGGAACTTTGTACAGAAAGCGCCAATATTGGCGCTGCGAAAAACTAATAGCCACCTAAAAAGCCTTAGAAAAACAGACAAAGCAAACAAAACAAAAGCAGACTAAGAGGGCAAGAAAGAAAGATAGGGGTAGTTACGAGGCCCACTTAGTTAAACGAAAGTAGAACGCGAGCGGGACATTTGTCTTAAACCGCCCGGGTAGCTAGCAATAGGCTAGGAGAAACAGAAGGAAAGGCACCAACGCACAAGTGTGTTGAGTGCGATTTCCTTCTGTTTCCCGAGTAGCGGGTGGGGTAGCGACGGAGGCCCAGGGGTAGGGAGGGGGAAAAATGCACGATTAATTCGTCCGGCCTGTGACTACTTAGCAGCACATGCACATGTGAATACTTAGCCGTCAAAACATCTCAAAAATGCAAGTGTTTCAAAGCCGTCAGTTCCCGTGGTAAGGCCCGGCGGCCATGGTGGCAGTTGATTCAGTGGGTGTGTCGATGATTTCCAGTGGAATTCCGGTGGAAGGTGGCACGTTGTGTTGGGTGATTCCCGATGCAAAACGGCGCCCCAATGATGGGGATCACACTCAGCACCCGAGTGGGACGGCTGAGCGAAACACACTCTAACAATTGTATTCAGTTAACTCAGTTCCCCAAGGAAAGGAATGGCTCAACGGAATGGCGAAAGGTCCGAGCAAGTTGAAGGTGTTTTAACAAAAGTTGACGCGTGACTGCAGAAAACTAGTTACTGAATACAAGGAAAGAGTGAACCGAAAGGCGAAAAGTCCGGGTACTTGAAGGTGTTTTAACAAAGGTTGACGCGTGACTGCAGAAAACTAGTTCCTGATTACTTAGCCGTGCAAGGAAACCTGTTTTGGGGGATCTCATGCGAAGAACCAACATGGAAACAAACCAACAGCGGCAAGGGGAACCAGTGGAGTCATTGCGTTTGATGCAGGTACACAGTGGAGCGTCCTCCACTGCTTCAGCACCAACCGATACCCTCTTCGTTGGACGGGTAGTATCGGTGGTGACCCGTCCCCCTGCATTCAAAACTCTTAGTTCCAGAGGTTAGAGGTGGAACCCTTAGATACAGGGGGTGACACACACACACACACATGTGGGACACTCGTGCGCGACACTCTTGCTGACCACTGTGTAGGACACTGATCTGGAGCCCTTTTCGGGGAAAATCTTGTGGCACACTCTAGGGCCCTCTTGTAAGGCACTTGCAGAGCGCTCTTGTGGGACACTCTTGTAGAGCGCTCAATGTGGGGCGCGACATTCTTGTGGGGCATTCTTGCGGTGCACTTTTGTAGGCCACTGTTGCCCAATCTTTCGGCGCACCTTGTGAGACACTCTTGGGGGGGGGCCTTTGAGGGGCACTCTGATAGCTGCGGTTTGTGCGACACCTTGGATAATTTCTTGTGTGGGTCACTCTTGTGGGATATTTTTGTAAAGCACTTCAAAAGTCAAACGTAGAACTCTCCAAAACCAGCTTCGGAATCCAACCCCCCCGAAAGCACAGCCGCTGACATGCCAATCCCAATGGCAAAGCAACATTGACCTGTACCCAACATCACCAACTCACGCTTCCCTGCGCCTGCCATGAAAACCGCACCTGTGTTGGAATTTGAGGCTGCCCACTGCGCAAGCATTGGAGTGGCTTGGCCTTGAGGAATGGTTGCCTTTGAGTTTTCACCTTTGGGAAATTTGAACGTTTTACCTCCAAAGAAGTGTTCTTTTGTCAGCTACTAGTAACAAGTGCATTACTACTAGTAACAAGAAGCTACTAGTAGCGATGCACTTGTTACTAGTAGTTTCTAGGTACTAGTAGTAATGCCCTTGTTACCAGTTGCGATGCCCTTGTTACTAGTAGTGATGACCGGTGAGGTTAATACCTTCAGAGTTTGTCCATTTGGCTTTCCAAGCGCCGCCTGCCTTGCCCGAAGGGAAGGAGCCTCGGCACCGAATCTGGATAACTGGGGGTTAACCCATCAAAGGTTTTTTGACGCCAAACCATGTTGCGAATTTACCACTGTATTATCTACATTGAAGTGGACTCCATTGTTCTTGGAAATTGCTAGGGAACCGCTGGGGTGCCCAAGTTTTGCAAGGCCAGCAAAGTGCTGATTTGGCCCTTCGTGGTTTGCTCAACTGCTGCATCTTGTCAGCGAGAGGAGGATGTCCTGTGGCATTAACACAGAGATTCAGAACAGTTTTTTGCTCCAGACTTCCAGATTTGACTGAGTGTGCTTCTTGCTTGTTCTCTCCAACGTTTGAGGTTGCTGTGCTGCTGCTTCTTCTCCAGCGGAAGCGGGCACATGCTGCAAGATGACGTCCAAAGAAGCACCTGGCATTGACTTCGGCTGGGTTGCGGGGACTGGGGTGGAACCATTCTCCATTGTGCTGAGCCTTTTCGCTTGAAAGAACCATTGAAATTGCATTGCCAATTCGCACGCGCCGCAAGAGCCATTGGCGTGACAGCATCGTTTTGAATCCCTCATGAGACTCACAGTGTGTCACACAGGGCAAGTTTTGTCGCTGCACAAGTCAATCCAAGCTTTGTCAAAGACCATCCTTTTCCGGGGACACAGAAGCCTGCCATCGGTGTTGGTCGAGGTCTCATCATGTCTCCTCAATGTTTCTAAGACTTGAGACGAATGTGTGTGGGAGCCATGGTCGACGAGCCTGTGGCAGCCTCACGGCTTCCCGCAGTTGTCAAGTCATTATAAGTATTTTCCGGCAGTCTTGACATTTCAGGACGTCTTCCACACAGCCCTCAGGCGGCACTTTGCGGAGGCTTCAGAGTTTGGAACGAAGTAGACTGACAGGTCCGGTTGGGTTCCCATGACATAGAGGACTCTGAGAAGATATGTTCAAAAAGAGGATGTATGGAGTATTCAAGCTACACTTTTGGGTTTCATATCCTGGAGGTTGTTTCTTTTGGGACCCTAAACGATTTGGCCTTCAGACACGAAGACAGGCTGGCTTTGTCGCCAAGCTTCCAAGCTCGAGGCAGCAACCTTTGGCGTGCAAAGGACATTGCGTTGTGTTGATGTGAATGAAAATGGATGAACACGGAGATTTGTCTCAGCTTGACGTTGCCAATGGTTGTCATTTGTGCTTTGGCACGAGAGAGAACACAAGGAGAATCTGCACTTGCAGGCCTGGCTCCGTGCATTTCTTGGTTCTTGTGCAGCGCATGGAACAAGGAGTACGGAAGCTCAAGAGTGGAAAAGTCCACTTCACAGGGTTGCAACATCCTTTCCCACAGTTTTTTCAGCCTAAAACACAGTTTTTTTTTCAAGTTTCAATGGTGTCTTCTTACCCATTTTTTTTGTAAAGCGGGGCTTTTGGCAACAATGGCAGTTGCTAGAGGACTGATGTCCGGGCTGGAGCGGCTTCCCTGTCCCACATCTTCCGTTTGCTTTAACTCTGGTTTAATGGCCGCACGCATGGACATTCAGAATGAGTAATGCTGACCATGAACCATCCCGAAGCATTCGCTTGAGAACCATTGCGATTCAGCTTGCAACTTCCTTGAAGCGTTGGTCGTTCAGGTTTGCATCGAGGTTACGGACTGCGAGCAGGGACTCTTTCGGGATCGTTTAGACGCCGCGAAGTTGCAGCAACTTCGGCAAGATGCAGGTGTGCAAATGATTGATCACCGCTTGATGGACATGTCTTTTTGATCATTGTTTTGCGCCCGCCTGTGTTCAGCACTCTTATCACATCAGCTGAGCTCAGCTGCAGGGATGGCCGAATTTGCTTGGCCGACCTTTCTGCGGTTGCTGGCGCAAGCACTGCGTGGCGAGGTGAGAAGACCTATTGGTCTCTGAATTCAACCCGTGCTGTGACCGGAAACTCCATGACATCAGGGCTGGAATGATGGCTGGAGAGTCACTGGGGCCAGGATGGATGCAGCACCACTGCAGTAGTGATGGGTGGTGGTCCCCCAAAGTGCTGACCTCAACTGTCATGGCAACTGACCCTACTTTGGGCCTTGAAACTTTTGTTTGTGCCATGTGCCATCCAGTGGCCATGGTATGCCCGGGTGACCAAGGCTTCAATTGGAGTTCCGATTTCGCCTGCAATCGGCTGTACTTCTGGCACGCATGCAAATGGAGGTTTCGTTCCCCATGATGCTGTTGGATGACCAGTTGATGTTATATTTCTTGCTCAGGCTGCAGCGTCGCTGCCCAGCATTTCACCTGAAGCGCAAGAGTTTCTAAAGGACTGGGTTTGCAGAGTTGGTGCTTCTTCCATGCACGATGGGCCACATGTTGCGGCTTGTGAGTTTTGGGTCATTTGCAATGATTCTTGTTGAGTTCTGTCAGCGTTGCGAGCTGTGAGTTTTGGAGGAGTTGCGCGGTTTCTTCCTCGGTGCCTTGGACGCCGCAGCAAGCGCAGCGTGCACGGCTGGTGCCACAGGCACCGCTACGACCAGCATGGCTGCAGTTGCGTCGCCTGTGCCAACGCGGGGCGAGCTGCTGCTCACGCCGCCGCGGGCGGTGAGTGCCCCAGCAGTGCTTGGGCAGGTGCAACTTGGCCAATTCTTTGGAGAAGCCGCAGTGAGTTGTCCTTCGATGTTTTCATTCCCAAAATGCATGCAAAGGGTCCTCCGTAAAGAACGGCTGCCAAGGTCAACTCTCCAACCATCATTATCATTATGTCACATCACAATCATCGCAATCATCCTTGTCATCAACATCAACAACATCATCGTCATCACCATCACCATCACCATCATCATCATCATCACCATCATCATCATCATCATCATCATCATCAACGTCATGTAGGCGCAGATGCAGGTAATGCGCCTGCTCTGGCACACCTATATATAGATGTACAGGTATGGAGATACAGCTGCTGAGATACAGGTGTAGAGATTCATGATACAGGTGTTGAGGCACAGGTGTTGAGGCATAGGTGTAGAGATAAAGGTGTTGACACAGAGGTGAAGACAGCTACAAAACTCACCTACACAACTACAACATTGGCCACTTTCTAATCTTCTAAGGTGGCGGGGTGGTCCGGCCGATGCTCGCGAAGCACGGAGACCGTGCGTGTCGGATGTGCAAAGCTGTGGTATTAAATGCGCAACTGCCTGGGCGTCGAGTGCTCAAGCGTGAAGTGAAGCACGAATTTTCGCCCCCGTCAGTGAACAGTTTGCGGGGATCGTGCGAGTCGAGTGCTCAAAGTGTGTAACAGTCTTCCAAAAACATGGCAGAAAGTGCCAAAGCGTGTAAGAGTCGCCGAAAATCATGGTGGAAGTGGCCAAAGTGTGTATATAACCGTCGCCGAAAAGGAAGATGGCAGTTGCCAAAGTGTGCAGCCAACCGTCGTCGAAAATGAAGGTGGGAGTTGATCGAAAACCCCGTGTAAGGAGTTTTATATGAAACAGCCTTTCAGATGTTGTTAGAACCATCCGCGAAAGATTCGCGATGAGGTTCGCGAAAGTATCTTTTTTTCCGCGAAAGATTTATCGAAGGTCATCGCTTTCATTGTTTCCATTTCTACCGGACTGACAAAGAGCCAGTGGGCGGAAGTGTCCCCATATGTCACAGACTAACGAACTGAAGCCTCAACATTTCCGTGCCCGGGGAAAGCACCAGTGAAATTTCGCGAAAGATCCGCGAAAGTTTCGCGAATGTGCCGCTAAAGTCCAGGTTCCCAGCTTGAGGCCCCCCAACATTCCCCAAGCTGCATCACCCTGTGTTGGTAGCTGACACGAGGATTGGGTTGAGTTGTGCCTGACTCTATATTGTCGCACAGATGCTGCAAGTGACCCTGAGTAGCTGTGGAAACGTTTAACCATCTACTGGGGTCATGCTGCAAGATGTCTCTCCCTATTTTGTGATACTATGACATGTTCCGGCTCATGTTAGCTAGACATGGTTGTAGGACCATGCTTCGCGATGAGGCCGCGAAAGATCCGCGAAAGATATCTTCTTTTCCGCGATGAATGGCCATTCCAGGATGAAAGAATATTGATCAACCACCAGGTGGGCGTTGCCAATCGTCTAATATGAAGGTGGAAGTTGTCAAAGTGCGTCACCGTCCTCAAGACTGAAGGTGGGTTCGAAGTTGGCATAACTGTTGTCGAACATGAAGGTTGCCAAAGTGTGTAACCGTCATCGAGAATCAAGGTTGTCGGCTCCCAAAGTGTGTAAATGTCGTCGAAAACGAAGGTGGAAGTTGCCAAGGTGTGTAACTGTCGTCGAGACTCAAGGTGGAAGCTGCCAAGTGTGTAACTGTCGCCGAAAATGATGGCGGAAGTTGCACATGTGTGTAACTGTTGTCGAAAATGAATGGGTGTTGCCAATGTGCGTAACTGTCGACAACGGTCCCCGGGCAAATTTAAGCAGCGAGCGAAAGCTGTGGCCTCAGCTGGCAAGTTTGTAGTTGTATAGTGCGGGAAGCACGCGTGTGGTACGGGAAACGAAGCAGCTTTGTGGAGGTGGCCTCAGAACTGGCAATTATTGTGGAACTGTATTGCTGAAGCAGCTTCTGGGCGCTGGGTGTGTGGCAAAGCGTGCGGCGTAATCACCTCTTTGATGTCGCTGAGCCATGGGGTTTTGCGTTGCTTCGGTGGAAAGTGTGTTAACCTGAGTCCGTGCCATTGGGGGAAGGAAAACACACTGGGGTAAACGTGGCGTGTCGCTGGTGAGCGGGATGATTGGTAGTTTCACAGCAGAGAGCCCTACAAGAGTGCCCCACAAGAATGTCTACAAGAGTGTCGCACAAGAGTGCCCTACAGTGACCCGTGACAAGAGTGGCGTCGCAACTGTCTTACAAATGTCAAACAAGAGTGCCTAACAGAGAGCGTCACGCAAGGGTGTCCTTCAAGTGTGTTTGACAAGAGTGTCCCACAAGGGTGTCCCACAACACTGTCCTACAAGAGTGTCCTCCTGGAGTGTTGTGCATGAGTCCACCACAGGCCCAACAAGTACATCTTGAGACTATCAAATATACTTTATCTTGGCCCACTAGAACCATTGTGCTCATCATCAGTAAATACCATTTTTATCACCATCATCAACATGGCCGCCGCCATCATCATGATGATGATCTTCATCGCCGTCCATACTTTTTGCCATCTCCTACGGTGCTTTTGGACCACCCTGTTGTCTAGTCAGTTTGCAACGTTTTGTTTTTGAAAGCCAGGTCTCCAGTCAAGAGCCGCGGCCCGAAGTGCCTCCAAGGTTCGCCACTGAAGAAGGGACCAATTTGTTCTTTGTTTGGGAATGGCACGGAAAAGGTCGGACCAAATTCAGGAAGCCAGCTTGCGCAATCAGGAAACCCAGGACACCCTGGGTCAGGGTACACACTTTGCGGCGTTTAGGGTCTCACTTCTTTGGGTTTGGCTTAGAGCTTGATATTCTTTAGGTTTTTTGTGGGTTCGACTTCCGGGGTTCGCC